GACTTCTGTTGAACCTTGTTGTACATTGTAAAAGCCTGTGTCTTATGTTTGGTACATATATTGCCTTCAGTTGAACCTTGTACATTCTAAAAGCCTATGTCTTATATTTAGTACATATATTGACTTCTGTTGAACCTTGTTATACATTGTAAAAGTCTGTGTCTTATGTTTGGTACATATATTGACAAGAAAGAAATTGTTTTGTTTTTCTTATTATTCTCAAAATACTCATGTTGAATAAATGTTTCATGAAAATATTTTTATTTTTGGATCCTTGTGTGGAATTCATTGTTAACGTGTGTTTACCATAGAATTGTGTTAGACTTCAGTTTTTCAGAGTGGTTCTAGACATACACAATCTTAGAAGAAATAATTTTCCTACAGACATATCAACATTAGCATTGGAAGGAGATTCTCCAAGCCGTAGAGAGAACAAAGACAAAAGGAGGCCTAGAACTCCTGATCTTCCAGCACTTAAACCTCTCTCTATATCATTGGTATATGATGTCAAGTAAGTCTTCAGTTACTTGTATTAAAAGAGTAGACGTGATATTTTTTTATGTTTAACTTAATTACCAGAAAATTACAAGTATGTTACAGAAAAGCCATTTTGTTTTATAGCTCATTGAAACTGTTATTATTTAAGTATTTCATGAAAGAATGTTTGGCTTTTTTTTTATGAAGTCAAGATTTTTAAAAATCTCTTTATAGTTGTTAATTTTCTGATTTTTTTAGTCAAATTTTTTCTTATGTTTGTTGAAAATTTAAAATTAAGAAATGTTCCTTTTATTAGTTCACAGTATAATAATTAAATTAAATGAAATACTTTAACAAATAGTTGATTAATAATCAGAGAAATTAATTTTCAATATCCATAGATAAAAACATTATACCCAAATTAGGCTTTCTTTTTAGTTATAAAACTTCCCAAATTAATACCAAGTATTAGCAATAATGTACAGTACATACTACACACCTACAGAATATTTGGAAATGTACTGTGGTGCTATAGCAGATTTTGTAATAAGAATGGAATCCAAACTGTGGTTATCCTCACAGAATAAATTTGTGGACAAGTTGATGATGTTTCTACAGGCAGTTGGGAGCTTAAATATTTGCTTGATTTACTCTGTGAGAAGTAGAAAAATAATATATCAAGATATTCAGCTAACTTCTGCATGATGTACTATGTTAGGAGTATAAACATAACATTAAAACATTTAGCTGACATTTGCATGACACACTGTTAGGGTAAAAGAAGGACACATATGGCTGCAATTCTCTGCAATTCTACGTCAACTGTGTCTCCCACTTTGGGATTAAATTTGAGACTTGGTGATTCTGATATTAAGAAACCAGAGATTTATCATTTACACGTATAAAATTGTTTTCAAAGTCTTTTTTTGAGTTACGAGTAACGTATTTAATATATTTTTATCACAAATTAGTAAATGTAATTGACTCATTTTTCGGAAAACGTAGCTTAATGATATATGAAAACATGAACGTAATAACAGGAAGCATTTATTAGATGTTTTGGAATCGTCATAATTCCATCATCAGTAATCTGGGGGTATAAAACAATATTTGTAATTACAACAGAAATATACACATAAGAAATTTTAAAGTTTGAAGAGAAATTGAATGTCTTGTTTCTATATTGTGTTGATAGATAACAGAGTTGGGAGGGTTTGTAACCTTCCAGTTTTTATAGATATGCCCATGTGTTCACATGCTCGTAAATGTAGTTTTATAAGTCAAATGTTCTTAACAATTACTAATTTCTCTATTATGTAAATTTGAAACAGATATACATGACTAATTTTGCTTGTTTTATACAATTTACATTTTGAATATGTGTCTTTGCTTTGATTTCAGGCTGTTTGTTGCAATATTATATAATGTATCAAATATCTGACAGGCTTAAATATTAATGTCCAGTAATATCTGTTATATTACTTGAAATTGTTGTAGTTTTCCACTATAACGTTTTAATAGTTTTGTTTGCAGCATTTAACAAATATTTATTGATCAACTGAAAAGCTGTTGTAACAATGATATGATTAATCATTCACATAGGAGCCAAAGGGTACCAGTATATGTTTTGACTCTAAGGGAACTTTGATATAAACTTTATGCTATAATAATGTTTTTACATGTTTTTGTGTAATAAATATTATTTTATTCTTTCAAAAGTATCTTATTGACACCTTATTGATGCTGTACTTTGTTACTGACTGTATTATGCTTATTTTAGTAGTCTAGATTTCTAATCAAATTTCAGATTTATTTTTTTACCTATCTATTTTAAAAAAGGCCGAGTTTCTGGATGAGTTTCAGGTTTTTTTAACTCGTACGTTTTAATTCTTTAAAAACCAATTTTAATGATTTTTTTTTCACCCTTTATGTTTTATGTTACTTTAGAGGCAAAATTCTTTATTGTCAACTATAAGAAGGTACTAATTATATATTACCATGTTTTTAAAACCATGATACTGAATTAGCTTACTTTCCATAACTGTATTTTTTCCCTTGGTTTCTGTAAGAGGTATGTTATTTGTAATTTCATGGTTATTCTATGTCTCTAACTTGTGAACTTTGATGCTTAGAAATGTCCAAGCAATGACTGAAATAAAAACTGACATTGGGTATGCTAGAGCGTGGGTACGGTTGGCAATGGAAAAGAAGCTCCTTTCAAAACACTTGAAGAAGTTATTGTCCAATCAGGAATTACTCAGGTTTATTAAATATTTTCTATCTGTTTAGTAGAACATATGTATTGAGTTAGTCCTGTTTTAATTCTAGAATTTCATTGTAAAGTACTTTAAATGTGTTCTTTCTTGTACCTATGATGTTATATTTAAAGAATTTAGGAAATAGTTTAACATTTGAGAGAAGAGAGTAAGAGTGATAAAATTAACATATAGGAACAGTAGAGCAGTCATAATTTTCTCTGGCCATTTCTGTGTTATTCACCATCTAATTCTATAAGGTGTAATATAAGCTGATCATATGATATTTCTGCCTGTAGTTGATTGGATTATTTCCTTAGTCTCAGAACAAAAAAATGTTGGAAGATATCATATTTAAGATATGATCTTAGACAATGAAAAATCATAAAAATAATTAAATATTCACTCATTCCTTAGAATATTGGGGATTACCTTTTTCATTTTATTCAGTTAACATTTGTGCAGTTTTTCATAATGTCGTTAGTATTTGAGCAGCTAATTTAGAACACCGAATATTGTAGTTTGTAATACTTTGTTATTTCAGGAGCCTGTACAAACGATATGCTTTCTTACGTTGTGATGACGAGAAAGAACAGTTTCTTTATCACTTGCTCACACTGAATGCTGTAGATTATAAATCCTTTACTAACACTTTTACCTCTACTGGTAAGTGAACATATACATTAATTTCAGCACAATTTCAAAAACTTAACAGTTGTAAGATTATTTCATTTCACTTTCAAATAGTCATAGGTATGTTTTGAATAAGTTCTACTTGACAACATACCTATTGAAACTTTCATTTTTAGAGATGTGTGTGTGTGTGAGATTTAATGAAACTTGAATTACTTGATTTGGATATTTTGGGTTCTTCACATCAGCTGTGAATAGGTTGTAACTACAATATATACAGAATATTAAAACTGAATTTCTCAGTTCAAATCCTCTGTGTCATATGTAACTGGTTATTGCTAGACTTTAGTGATGCACAACTGAGTGACTAGTGATGATACAGTTGTCTCTAAGGCAAAACACAAATTATTTTGATTTTTAAGTTCAAATTTAACAGCCATCATACCTTTCTATTAAGATTCTTTACAAGTAGTGTATTGTTTCCAATAAACAGAAGGATATTATTATTGTTTGTGATCAATAACTGTTGCCTTTCGAAACAATGAAACCTTCCATCAGTGGAGATGTTCAGATTGGTATATCTTATTCTGTTCAGCACACAGAATATCTTGTATTATATATGCTGTTGCACATATTATCAGTTAATAAGATTTTTTGTAATAAATTTTAAACAAATGTTAAAGAGATTATGCAAAATTGGCCTTTTCCCCCTCGAAAATTTGTTGAAAAAAGTTCAGGTAACTTTAACAATAATGTATTACCTGAAAACACAAATAAATGCTTAAAATCACAAAAAAGGGAAATGAAAACATATGATCTACATTTTGAACAAGTGGCTTTCTTCAGGACCTAAAGAAAAGTGGGAAAGTAAGAGATTGTATTAATATATGTATAGAAATAAAGATCCACTTCATTGTTAGTAGACAGCCTTTAGGTACGTGAGATAGTTAACGAGTACTGAAGTATAGGTTACGGAAGAAATCTTAGAAACATTTAATTATATAAATTATTTCTGAGCATATGATGTTAACAATGACAAAGCTATAACAAAATTACTTGTCATATAGTTTTAAAGAAAATTTTATGTTACATGGTATAAACTGGAAGAAGCTTGGGGATTTTTTTTTCTCAAGAAAATGTTTCTTTATTTTCTTTTAATTGTAATTCCATTTCAAAGGAAATGCATATTACTCCAAACTACATTACCAGGAAACTGGAGAAACTTTGTTAGTTATACTTTAAAAATGTTTTAATACACAGTAATGAAATATTTTTTCAGTTATGCCTTATCGGGTGATAATCTTCCCAAGCCGAAAGATGAGTGGCTCCACTACCTCTGCAAATGCTTGGATCATTGTTTCTGGTACTTTAGGAGAAACAAGAATAATTGATTTGCCAAAACAAAGCCTGGAGATTGTCTTCCAAGTAAGACATTCTGCAACACTAGAGATGTGTAGTTAAGATTTTTATTTGAGAGGAGGGGGTTACATTAAAAAAATCTTGAAATTTTGTACTTTTAGTTCTTTTCCCTGCTAGTTTTTAATTGACTGTAGTAAAATTGAAATTTGATGTTAGTCTGTAGAATATGGTTTCTCTTTAATAGTATTATGAACATTATTTGAACTTTCATGGTTGTTTTTGCACTATATATATTTAAAAGGCTGACAGATTTGGCCTACATAAAATATTAAATGTATACTAGTTATGTAACTGCAATTTGCTTTAAACTAAAATGCACACTTTTTTTGGGAACTTTTTTACAGAAAACCTCAGATACTAGTTTTGGCATATTTGCATTAAACTTACTGTCTGTAAAACAGATTTGAAGATGAACCAAAATATAACTAACTTGGACAAAAAATCACATTTTGGAACTTGACACAAAGACTTCAATATAAGTTTTGGTACATTCATATGCCTTTTTCTGTTGGAAGATGTCGGAATGAGAAAAGAGGTCTGTTCCAGTGTGCATGTGATGTGATGAAATTTGATCCCATGTCCCATGTAGGATGCATGTGTTGAAAAAAAAAAGTTTGAAATGTTGACACTTGGTATGCTATTAATTACAAAGCTTTCAACAACTTTTTGTTTTCTTTTAATTAATATATGTGTAATTTTTTTATGTTGTTTTACAATTACTGCAGCATAAAAACCTAGGAATCCTCACAACAGTAAGAATTGGTCATGACAATACAGGAATATCTCCCAAGTGGATGGTAGAGCATGTTGTGGTTCGAAATGAGATTACAGGCCATGCTTACAAGCAAGTATCTCCAAGTTAAATTTCTGTTCTTTAAGTTTGGAGTAATATATTCTGAAATGCTTTGAACTTAATTAACTTTATGTTTAAATTCTAGAAAACATTGAAATAGACAACAGACAAGCTGATTGTATTTGGATGATGAATGCCAAAACCCTTGAATGTGTATTGTTAAATATCAAACATAAAAACAACTTTCACATTAGCTCTATGTTTCTAAGGGAGAGAAAGAAAGAGTAACAAGGGTAAATTTAATGACAAGAATATTTGTGAAACCTTTTGGCATACAAGGTGCAGTCTGAGAGAGCATATGATTTAAAAATTATACTTGTTCACATTTGTAAATAGAACTGTGGTATGTTTTGCTATTATATAATCTTTATACTTTTATTTAGCTTCATTTTGTGATTTTATGAGGGTAGTTCCTGTGTTTTAATACACTATTTCTAGCATTAATGAAAATACTCCACTTCACCCGATACTAGTAGGAATTATGTTCTTCACCTTTGCCAATTTTCACTATGGATTCAAACAAGATAGATAACTTCACCATGTACAATAATTCTATGGTCGTTTATCCTATTTTGAAATCATATGAGACTTAAATATCAAAACAGATTGTTAGATTCCTGCAAAAGTATAATAATGTGGATGACTGATCCAAATCCAGTCATGATGCTACATCTATGTTTTATCCAAATATTGTTTTAAAGGTTTATACTTAAATGCTGTTCATTCTTTAAGAGGGTTATTTATTGGCAGGGACTAATTTCCTCCAACTCTAAAGGTGATGGAGGTTATGTTTTAACCCCTGTGTGTGTGTTTGTTTGGGTGTTTGACAGCAAGATTTCTCAAACAGCTGAATAGATTTGGACAAAAGTTGGTATACATTTGAACTATGACCCAACTTAGAAGTGATTAGTTTTGAAGGGTCAAGGTCACAAAAATCCAAAAATTCCCTATCTGTTAACACGGGGACTGATTTTTCATCATATGTTTTCTCTATAACTCTGTCAAAATTATTGGATTTTGATGAAACTTGGTGGACTTATGTATAATATAATTCCACATTGTCCTGCCAAAAATGGTCCATAACAATGGACATATAGACAGATTTTCATATTTTTTGAGGGCTGAATATGATCAACACTGCATGGCAGAAGTATACACCCTACTGAGTGCCCTTTTAGTTGTATATGTAATTCTTAGTAGTTACATTAAGAAATTGAAAATTTATAAAGGGCTTCTCCCCCCCCCCCTATGTTATATGTGTACTTGTTGTTGGATTTAAGATTGAACAGTCTGTGAAAATTATATATATTTATATCTATTTAGATCAAAGGCTAATAAGCAATCATAATGTGCATTTGACACTTGAAACAATTCAGCAAAATATAACATCATTTTTTTTTCATTTGATTAGTTTAATCTTAATTTAAAAAATACCACTAAAATTTTCCTATATATACGAATAACAAAACACTGGAATATCAGACTATTCTGTTTTTACTCTCCTTTATTAATTTCTTCAACTGGTTTCATGACTTCAGAAGTCACTCAACATAAATAATCTAAATTAAATACATATATTCTCCAAATGTACAAACATATAATACATTTGTATAAATGAAGTATATTAAAAATGCTCAGAGTAAATAAACTTAGTTAAAATTTATCCAATATATTTTACTTTCTCTTGTTATTATAGAATGCAATTTATTTATTCCATAATTTCATACCTCTTACTTACTTTATTGTAAGGCATAGGGTGTGTTTTATATTTGTACATTTGGAAAGTATATGCATTTAATTTACATTATCTATGTTTAGTTGAAAAATGGTATTTGTATGTTTTTGTTATAGATACTTAGTAAACTATATCCCGAAGAGTGACCTTTGAAGTCATGAAACCAGTTGAAGAAATAAATAAAGGAGATAAAAAGTAGAATAGTCTGATGTTCTAGTGTTTTGTTATATATATATGTGTGTGTGTGTGTGTGTGTGTGTGTATGATGTATTATATTTATCCTGGTTATTTGAATGTTGTAGCTGATATCTGTTTGTTAATTTGATCTCACAAAAATGAATGTGTGTGTTGTTTTTCTTTCATATCAGGTTTCCATGTGGACGATGGCTTGGGAAAGGAGTTGATGATGGCAGCACCGAGCGTCTCCTAGTGGGAGAACTTGTTCCAGCTGATATAGATAATGAAGGTAAAAAAAGGTTGATTTTTAAAGTTATTTTGTACTTGATAACAGAAATTGGTTGTATTTTTCAGTCCCTATGTTTTACTGATATTATTTCTTTTTAATTTCAATATGAGGGTGTTAATTACATAAATTAAAACATTACAGATATATTCAGAGATCATTATTTATGTATCTAGGTCATAAATATTTAAATTGAAATTATGAATTTAAACCCCAATTTAGGTTCTTTTACCTTAAAATATCAAAAATAAAGTATATAAAAAATATATTTGCATTATAAAATAAAAGATACTAGAGCTTGTGCTCTTATTTTAGTAGATGTAAGTGAAAAGTGCATTCAGTTTGGTGCAGAGAAGTACACATTGTATTGTTGTGAATATATGAGAATTTTTAATCCATTTGAAGAAAGATTGTAAAAGTACAGAGACCATCATCCTTATACTTGTGAAAAAAAATCAATCTCCATGAAGTGTAATCTGGCTGAGATATAATAAGGAACTGAAAATATTCTTCTTTTCAGAATTAGCAGAAACTTGCAGAACACCACCCCGGTGTCGATCACCTAGTGTTCCAAGGAGGTCCAGTGAACCAAGTATGTGAATAAATATTTGCACATGACAATTTTCTTTTGGAAGCCTGGCATCTCATAGTATTAACTGCTAATAGGGGTGTGACACAGGATATTTAGGGGTACTTACTTTACATGGAGTGTAGTTATATTTATAAGTGGTGGAATTTTCAGAATTTTCTTTTTGTCATTCATTTAAGTGAATGATTGAAAACAGGTTCAGATTAAATATTTTTATTTATACACTTGTTTGGCAGTAATGTTTTACAATAGGTACTTAATTCTCCACCAGCAATTTTTAAGAGAGCATTAAATATTACATGTAAAACTAATGCATTCTCCATATATTTATTTGAATATTTTTATGCACACAGAATACTTCTTGTGTGTGTATAATGTGTACATCAGTTCTCAGTTTTAGAAAAACCAATCTTAAGATCTTATAGAAGAAAAATGTATTACTGAAACCAATAAGATAAAATAAAGAAAATGTGATTTATTAGTAGTATGGGATACAGGGGGGTGATAGGGTTAATCAAGATAATCAGTTCTAATGGGTGTATATTTCAGGAATAACATTGTTTACTGCGCATGACACAAGGTTTTAGTGTCTTACATTCAAAATTTTATTTAACTACTTTATGTTTGTTATACCAATTAGAATAGCATAAAATCTTAGCCAATAATCCATATATTAATAGTATACAAGTTTTAAGTTCTTAATTGTACAAGGCAATATTAAAAATAAATTCTGAATTTCCACTAGTGTGACCCATTTTCTCTTAGCATGTCATCATCCTTATTTTATCCACCACTCCTCGCAAAAGTACAAAATCAAACGTAAATTACTCTATAAAATCTTTATTGCTCAGACAAACCATAATTTTTGTAGCCTTCAATTTTGTTTCATTACAGAGCAATCAAATAGAAAATCAGACTCCTCCTGCCACACCCACCTGTCGCATCCTCTCTTTCATAATGCGTTGATAGTTCTCTCTTACATTTCAATATATATTATCTAGAACCAATAGAAAGTAAAGGTTTTGATCTATCAAATGATGTATAACATGTTCTGAACAGAATATCATTAATTTCACTCACAGTACAAGATTCATTCCCATGGGAAAGTTAATGACTATCTTGGATGAATTTGTAAAGGCTCTTGTTGCACGGTTAAAAAGGGGAATTTGTCTATATTTGTTATTAGTCTATATTCTTCGGTGCATTATTTAGTTAAATAAAAATTAAGTGCTTTACTATCATTACTATAAAAAATCAGACTTAGCTATCCTCGACCGTTGAGGGCAAGAAAAAAGAATATTGGGTATGTACTTTATTTCTTTTTTTTCATATTTATTCTTTTTTTATTATTATAAAAGTAATTAAAATCTAAAAATACAAATCTTTTTAAGTTATTTAAGACTAGATTAGATAAAATAAGCAATAATAATAATAATATAATTAAAATGGTTCATGAGGCATGCACGCGAGCAGCTAGTAGTAGCTCATGGGTAATGTAATTCGATAGTGTAACGTTAGCTGCATGTTCCCCAAGTGATTTACAACTTATAATGGCACAGACAGTAGTTAGACATGGTTCAAGGGGCAATAAAACAATAAAATTTCATTATAAATATATGTATACTGTTACAAACTTAGAGCTACTTAGGATCAATGAATGTAGTTTCATGTTAGAATTTGAAGTCATTCTAAAAAGGAAAAAAAAGGGTAATTTAGGTTTATTTAAATTTTTTTTTGGTGGTTACGAGGTTGGTCCCGTTTCGAAATAGGCTAGAGAAAATAACAGATAAACGATAAATAGTTACTGAAATAAATGTTTGAAATCCATTTAGGAAGTTTTAAGGATTACATTATGGAAATTTGAGATTTTTGAGATAAGGAAAAGTATTTTTAATTTTAACATGAAAATTACTTTGCACATGGACAATTCAAAACAAGTACTCAATATATTCATGAACAAATCTTTATTTTATTAAAAATACTTCACTAAAAAATATGATTTTTTTTGTATGCTAAAGTCTTGTAATGTTAACTGAAAGACTGCCAAATTTCGTGAAGATATACACACTAAAACGAGTACAAAAAGTTAATGTAATCAGTCAAATTGATCGAGCCCATGTTGAGAGAGTTAATAGATATACTCGATTACCTATGAGCATAAATTACATTGACTAATGTCACTAAAATGATCGATTAATTGAAATTATGATTAAACTGATAAATGTCATAAAAATAATCAACTAACTGAAACTTGTGTTTCTGATTATTACCTAAGTCTTGTGAGAATAATCAATTATTAGAATGTAAATGACTAAGGAACCTGAGGATTAAAAACTTTTCAAACTCCATAAGTGCCCAGCTCTAACGTCCATTACTTTTTTTTTACTTGAATATCTGTCACCCTTTGTAATGTTTTGTATATGACCCAATATCATGAACAAAGAAACAAGTTTGAAACTAGAGGTAAATGTTACAAAACATGAAGGTACGTTAGGTATTATGTCATCAGGGAGTGATGCAGCACATCCCAGATACTTGCCCAGTAGATCCATTTTTAATCCCCTTAAGGTGGATTCCTGTACATGGTGAAGGGACCTCCTAAGGAAGGTTCTGTCTCTTCAGTTTACCTCCTCTGGAATCCAAACATCCACCCATATGTTTGCTGTGCGTAGCATTCTGTGAAGGGGATGAGAGGATCCTGATGGTTGAAGGGTGTCATCCTGATGGGTGAGTTATATCAGGGGCACTTTGGCCTTGAATTCCTATAGATGGTGGCTTCTCAAGGGTCAGTCAGCTGGTCCTGTTGGGCTAGGGTCAACAAAGTGCCAATGTTGAGCATTCTCAGTGGGTGTTGTGGACATTACATCTGATGCTGGTGTTTGGGTATTTTGGGTATAGTGCTCACAAAACCATAGCATAGCTGCACTGTCCTTGTATCGCAGTGTAGTTGGTCCCCTTGTAGGGTTCCATGGAGGGTGGGGTTAGTGGACACCAAATATTCTCTATTTCTTATGGATCCCACACCAGTGACCCAAAAAAAAACATTGAAAAGCCATGTTGATTGGAAGTCTTCCATGTCTGGAAGACTGATTTGCAGTTGCCACCTTCGACTGTTCCTGGACCACATTTTTTAATTCATCATTCTATGTTTGAGAAACCTCTGCGACAAATGTCTTCCCCTTTTCATTCAGAAGGGATTAGATTAGTCAGTCATGAAGTTACATTTAGGGGACATCTTGGTGGAAACATCTACACCAAACCATAGCAAACACCTTCTGAAATTAAAAGTCATTGGGGACATATCTATTGAGGTTACTCCCCATGCTACTTTGAATTCCTTATGAAGAGTTATCATTGAGAGGAATTTAAAAAGCATCCCCGAGTCAGAGATCATCGCTGGTTTCTCTGCCAAGAACTTTCTGCTGTGTGAAGTATCTCCACTTGTAAAGGTGAATTATGCTGCAGCCTACCAATGTTCTTATACTGTTGTTTACATTGCCACATCCATCTGCCACTGTTAAGGCAGGTTATCTGAACTGTAAGGTATGCCCGTATATTCTTAACCCTTTCAAGTGTTTCCAGTTTCAGCATCAGTTGTGGTTCCCACCCCTCATACTTTTGTTCTTGACCTAAGTAGGTAGAGGAGAAAGAGGTACAATGTTTCTGTACTGTAAACAACATCTCTTTTCCTGAGGCCCAGAAGTTGTTGTCCCCTGGTCCATCAAGGACATGTGCTGCTACATTTTGTTCCACTGAAACATTGGTTGTGCAAACAGATCTTTCCGTGCCTCCAACAGTGTAGTTCTCTCATCATGTCAAGAGTCTTTTGCCCTCTATGGATGCAAGAGATGAAAAGTCTTTGTCCCCACTTTTGCATCCAGTAACTGTTTGGATCCCTCTCCTTCAGCCCCGAGGTGCAGAACCATTATTCAGTCATGCACTGTGTCTCTGAAGTTTTTTTCTGACAGAGATCTGCCCAGTTGGCCCATGGCACGTTCCATGGAGGTTGACAGACCTTTTTCTTCTAAAGAAAAACATCGTGGCTGCAAACAAAAGGGTTCTTCTCCTAGTTCTCCATCTCCTAAATACTTTGATATAGTGGAACTGTTGAGGTTTTGTTCTAATTTGGATGACATTAAGGCCTTGATCTATTTCTACCATCCTGTGTGTTTCTCGTTACAGGAAACATTCCTCAAACTTGCTGATGCTGTCACCTTTTGGCAGTTTTCTGTTTATCGGAATGACAGGTTGCGTGATGAATGGGTTCATGGAGATGTGGTGTTGCTGGTTGACTAGCACATACCCACCATGTCTGTGCCACTCAAAATGCCCTCGGAGGCTGTAGCCATCCATATCTCTGTGGGTCGTAACATCACTTTATATTCTCTTTACCTGTCACCAGGAGAGATCAAACTTTGATGATCTCATTGCCCAGTTGCTGTGTCCCTTCTTCATCTTGGCAGATTTTAATGGACATAATTCCCTCTGGGGTGGTGCTGTTATTGATGGGAGAGGTCATTCTATGAAACATCTGCTCTCAGATCATAGCCTTTCTCTATTCAGTACTGGTTCATTTACCTATTTTCATGCACCTAGTCAGCCTTTTACTGTTATTGATCTATATATTTGTTCACCTTCACTTTTTTCTCTTTTCCCGTCATTTTGTTACAGTCGCTACCACCAGACTCGTGTGCCATAGCAAGCTGACTGGTTCTCCTTCACCTTATTATGGAACTTGATCCTGCTGTCATTAGTCTTCCATCTATTAATGATTGCGTGAAGGCAGTAACTGATTGTATTATTCAAACGACTGTTTGTTCTATCCCCAAAACCTTGATGCATTTCCCATGGTATCCTCATCTGTGATGGACTACTGCCTGCCAGCAGGCATGGAAGGCTCAGAAACGGGCCTGGGATATCTTTCACAGGTTTCCCACTCTTTCCAACCACATTGCTTTCCAGCATGATCGTGTCCGTGCCTTGCTGGTCAGACAATGCCAGAA